CCGCAGCCAATGGCGGCGCGCGGGAACGGCCCGGCCGGGGCGGCACCGGGGGCACCGGGAGCGGGGCTCGGCGCTGAGCCTCCCGCTGGCACCGAGCCTTCCCGCAGCCCTCCCCCAGGCGCGGTGCCCCTGCTCTGCCCAGGCGCCGCTCGTGTTTTGCCGTGTGATGGCGGCTGCGCTGAGGGCAGCCTGGCGGCGGCAGGGCTGCCCCTCGTCCCTCCCGCATCCTCATCGGGCCGCGGACGCCACAGCCAGGCCAGGGCTGCCCGTGGGCACTGCAGTGGTGGCACTGGTGAGCACGAGGTCAGTAATGGGGAAGGTGTTTGTAGCACCTGCTGTCCGGAGCAGCTCTGGGTTCAAGGGCTCAGAGCCCCGCTACACACCTTGGATTTTCATACTCCACTGTGCCCTTGTGTGTAAGGAACGGTGTTTTCGTGCCCCAAACTCCTGAAGGGGAGGATTGATGGCGCTTTGGAAGCCATCCTTCAAGTAAGCAATGCTGCCCACTTAGTTTGGAAGTATTTTGTCACTTTATAAAGCACCCATTGTACAGACATCTGCGTCAGTCGCTCCACATACACGAACAAAGATTATAATCCATCCCCATCGCCTGGAGACAGTGGCTGTTCCTGCAAACAACCCAAGTGGGTGGAAGTTTCAGGAGCTGCAGAAGGACAGGAGCCTGGATGTCGCCATAGAGTTTAAATCGACAAAGTCTTCAAATGTGGTCTTGCAGAGGGATTTTCATCTGGTTGGACATGTGAGGGTGGTTTTTCTTTTCTGTTTTTGCAAAATAGACACAAACCAAGGAAGAAAGTGGCTGGTGCCAGGCCTGGGCCAGCGGCCTTTGAGGTCACTGGCAGTCTGTCACTGCCCCCGGGTGGCTTGGAGCCCAGCCCGGAATACCAAGGGATGCAGCAAAACAAGTAATTTCATATCAAAGTGCTATCATATGCTCATAAAAATAGAAGCAAAATAGAGATGTTTCCTCCCCCACCCCTTGCAATTCTTTGGAATTACAATGATCGGAGCTGTCGCCTGGAAAGCCTGACCTCACTGGGAGTGCATGGATCCAGCTGCCATGCAGTGCCCTGTGACAGGGACCACAGGGTGGGACAGGGGGCAGCCACATTCCAGCGAGCAGGGCTGGGGTGCTGGGGTTTTAATGTTCCAGCACTAAACCCTGTCAGGCAAAGCTCCCACTCCACTGTACCCCAACAGCTGCAGCTCTGCTGACCCCCCCAGCGAGTGGCCTTGTCTGCCCTCAAAATTCCCTGATACTCGAACTGGCAAGCGAGCAACCACTCCCATTGTAGGTACACAAAAGAGGCCTTTTATGGTGTCATTTTTACTTGTATCCAAAGCCAAACAACATAGAGTTGAAAAACCACCGGCAGCCTTTTGTCCCATTGACCCCTCGAAACTCCATTTCTGCTACCAGATTTTCCTGGAAAAAAGTATGGGATTGCAGTTTTCACTGCAAAATGTGTCAGACCCTGAATCTTTCTGTCCATATTCAGGTGCTCAGAGGCTGCAGACCTGCAGCACAGCCGGTGTCCTTGGCCATTGGCACCACCCTGGGTGACTCAGAGGGTTGGGAATGTCCAGCAGGGCTTATCTCCTGGTGGGATTCACTGCAGAGAGAAGGCAAGGCCTAAACTGTGCTGGCTGTTCAGGCTCCTGCTGCTGTGGATAGGAGGAGAGGCCTCCTCACAGGACAAATCTCATCTTTCCACTGTCTCACAAGGCCTCAAATCAGCAGTTTCTGAGCCAGTTTCTGCAAGAGAAAGGAAATCCCCGTTTAGTTCTCATAGTCAGGATCATTTTCAGCTATGTCGCCTTTGCCTGTGTTGCAGGGCAGGACCTGCAGGGCAGGACCTGCCTCTGAGTCCCTGCTCTCCAGAGGGACCTTGGACCCTGTGCAGTGGCAAAAGGGATGGAGGAAGGCAAAATCTGAGGCTGGGAAAGGCACTGGGAAAGGAGAGGAAGGAGAGACTGCATTGTGGGGCTGGGAGGGAAGGAGATTTCTGTGCACGCCTCAGTCACATGTACATTTGGGCAAAAGATGCACCAGGAATTTGACAGTCTGAGGGCACGATGGGATGCAGCCAGGCTGGAAGCAGGATGGTCTGTGGGAGAGCCCAAGCATGGTGGGAGGCTGGTGGGAAGCAGGGACAACACCAAGCACATGGAGCTGCACTGGGAAGGTGTCAGGGTGGGCTCTGGGCTTGCTTTGTGGCCTGGCATCTTGAAATTGGAGCTGCAAAGCTCCTTCAGGTCCTGCTTCCCTCCTTCTCCCCCTTCAGCTTCGCCCCCCTGGTGCCGCACTTCCCCTCCTGCGGGGAGGGACAACGACCTGTCGGGATTCCCATAGGAAAGGGGCTGCGGAAGGGCCGTGTTATCCTGACCTGGAACAATGCAGGCCATCCCCCTGAGCTGCCTGCGCGGACCCGGAGACGGCAGCCTCCCCTTCCTCCTGCCCTGGGCTGCCGAGAGCACGGGCCTGCCTTGTAAACAAATTGTCTTGCTCTGTTCCGGTGGCAGCTGCACTTCTGGGCGTCTCATCTGGGAAAGGCATCAGCTGGAGGATGAAAGGGGATGTGCAAGATGTTATTACAAGCAATTACTGTAAAAGAGGGGAAACTTTCCCATGCTAGGAACACTTCTCTCTTCTTCCCAGAACGCAGTGGGACAGGCTGCTCTGCCCCAGGAGTTACAGTCAAACGAGAGCGTGATCTGCTGCACAGTGAGCTGAAGCTGGAGGATCAGGGTCCAGCCTGCCTTCCAAAGTAAGCATGCGCTGCCGGGTGTTCCAGCTGTCAGGGCAGGGCTGGGGCAGGGCCAGTGTCTGGATAAACCCTGTGCAGCTCCATCCTGGGGACAGGAGGCGCTCCCACAGTGTCAGAGTCATATTTGTAAGAGCACCTTTAGTCTTTGAAGAGGGCAGAGGGAGGGTGTGACCGTGCCGGGAACATGCAGGAACCTCCGGGACCCTGCTGCCCCAACTGCCCGGGCAAAGGCCTCAAAGGATGTGTCATTAGTGCTGGCATGGAGGAGCAAGGTGTTTCTGATGCCTTTTCCCTGAGGGAGAACTGCCCCTTGGGAGGTGTCAGGAGAGAGAGGACTCTTCCTCCCAGAAGCAGTTTTGAGAGCACCTCTTCTCCTTCCTTGTCCCTGAGACTCAGGGGATGCACCCACCTTCCTCCTTGTGTGGGCCAAGAGGAAGGGAGGGCAGATGGGGATTATTTCTGATCTGGGAGCTGTTCTCACTCGAGGCACAAGGCTGAGAGGGGATCCAGTTTGCTCATTTTGGGTGACAAGGATGAAGGGATGCAGAGAGAAGGTCTCACTCGCCTCCCAGCTTGCTCGTTTTGGGTGACAGCGAGGATGAAGGGATGCAGAGAGAAGGTCTCACTCGCCTGCTGTGGAATGGAGAGACCCTCTTCTCCCTGGGAGATGTGGACCAGCTCTCCCTCTGTTGCCAGCTGGTTGGATGGTGTGTTTTACAAACCAAACATCAGGGAGGGTTTGGGGGTCCCACGCCTAGATCATCTCCCTAGATGTGCCCTTTGTATGCATTAAATCCCATTTTATTTCATTACACCTTTCTGCACCACCTTTAGCAATCCCCACCGAGCTCAGGATCACCTCCTTCACACCTCCATCCGCAGGCTGTTATCACATCCTCCCTGCCTCCCAGGGCATATTTACCCCAGGAATCACTTGTCCCACCCAAAACCATCCCCATTCTTTTCCTCTATCATTATCTCACTAAGAGTTTGGCAGTCAGGAGCAGGCAGGGTTCTCCCCGGTGTCTGACCAGGGACGAGGCAGAAAACTGTCACCTTCAGGGGACCTGGACTTCTCCCAGGTGAGCAGCCTGGAACACGCGACGGGGCTGGCCCGGCGTCACTTCTTTGCCTCCCAGGGAAGGGGAACCCCTCCACCACGGAGGCTGAGCTGTGGCTGGGGTCCCACCAGCACCTGCTCCCAAGAGCCAGAGGGAACGGGGTAAGCTCCCGGGGACGTCCTGCAGCCCATCCTGCCATGGAATCTTGCTCCTGGGCAAGTTCCACCCTGGACAGGGTAGCCTGTTTTCCCGCCGCTCCAGAGGGACAGGCCGGGGGAGGCTCTACTCCGGGGGTGTCCCAGGGAGCCCCTTGCCGCACCGTGCCGCGGCAGACCGTGAGGAGGAGCTGGTCTGCTCCCGGGGCCATGGCCCCGACGTGCAGCCCATGTGAGGGCAGACCCCGGTTTGGAGAACATGCGCCGCTGGGGCAGACCCCACCGGGAGGGATGGAGCACGCGGAGAACACACCGTGCTCGGGGCAGACCCCACCGGGACATCCGCCCCGCCCCGGTCCCGCCCGTCCTTGTCGCGGCTGCTGACGCCGGGGGCGGCCCCGCGCCCGCCCCGCCCCGCCCGCCGGACCAACTTCCATTTTAGGTGCGGGAGCGGCGCGGGCGCACGGCGGGACCGGACCGACCCCGCGCTCCGCACACACCGCCCCGCGCCCCGCCCGGGCCGCCGCCGCTCGCCCTGCCCGGAACAAAGGCGGCCCGTGTGCCAGCTTCCCGCGGCCGGCACCGGCGGGGGCCCCCCCCCCCCCCCGGGGGGCGGGGGGCGGGGGGCCCCCCGGGCCCCCGGGCGGGGAGCGGGGCTGGGTTGCCTCCGCGGGGTCTCGGTCGAGGCACGGTCCGGTTCTGTGACTGTGCGTCCGGCCGCCCAGTTCGGCTCTGCCGGTCTGCGCCGGGGCTCCTCGCCCGGTGTGTCGTTCGCCTGCGCCTTTGTTCTGCCGGGGAAGGGGCCGGTGTGCCCGGGGGGGTCAAGTGTGCGGGTGGGGCTGCGGCTCCTCCTAATGGAATCGCTCTGAGCTTCAAAACAGCCCGACAGGCCCGTCCGCCCGAGCTCACA